AAAACAAATGTAAATATGCCGGATTATAGCTACAAAGCTAGTTTTCATCCGTAGTCCCTAGGCAGGCAAATACATAAGAAAGAACATATAACATACAATACAAGCATCACAAGGAAATGTTAAGAGTTTAGTGGTTACATGACTGGTTTGTTTTCATCTGTAGTTTGAGTTGAGCTCTAAAGCTGATCAGTGTAGGGCTCTCCTGTATGTGCAGAGGAAGACTGTTCCAGATGTTAGTGGCTCTCACAGAGAGAGTGTTCTGACCAAAAGTTGTTCTTCTGTGAGGGACCTCACAGTCTCCTCTGGAGGAGGCCCTGGTTCTCAGGCCACTTGAAGTCTTAGGTTTGAACAGAGTAGACACAGGAGGTGGGGCTAGTCCATGCAGCGCTTTATAAATGAAGCACACATACTTAAAATTTATAAAATTTTCAACATTTAAAAGATTGTACTTGTTTAAAATATTACATACGTGGAAAGAATTAGGTTTTTGGTCAAACGCTTTTAGAGATTTTTTGTACAGTGATTGAATTCATTTTAATTTCAGTTAGTTAGGACATTCAACCTTAGAGGATATGCTGCCCCCTTTTGGTTAATAGGGGAACTATTTCTTCCAGAGGTGGTGAGTTGGACCATAGAGGAGCAAATAATCCCCTTTAAGGGGTGGCCACTGTGGTGGCCAATGACTGGCTGCAGGTGGCCCCACTACTACACGACATGTGGTAACCATGACTAATGTCATCCATTTCCTGTTGACTGAGTAAATTAAATTAAAACATTAAAGAAGTTTGTCCTTCCACCAGTCCACTGACAGCAGATAGAAAGTGAGGATTAAACATATTAGTCCCTTCATTGTGACATACGGTCCCTTGAAAATGATTTCATAAACCACCTTGAAAGCAAAGTTAAATTGATATAAAGAATCCGAACCTGCAGTGGAAAAGTAGTAAAGGTCCTTTTCATTTCGCTCCACTCAGTTCCATGGGTTTTATCAAGTGTTTTGACCAGTCTCTTATGTTTGTTGCTCCCCTATCAGCTCCTTCATGTTTTATTCTTCAGTTTTCAGTCACTCCTCTCGGGTTTCGACTGTGGTCTCTGGTCTTACTGATTTCCCAGTGGTCCTGGTTCTCCTTGTAGGTTTGTTACTCTATCAACTTAATATGTTCCGCACATTATTCAGTCTCCTTTATGCTGTATAAGTGCCAATGAATCACAAACACAACACTGGCTGTTTGAAAGAAAAATACAAAGAGCAGACTGTTTTTTTTATGGTGTCATCAATAATCCCAAGATTATTTCCTAATTTAGGGCTCACTTTAACTGATGGGAAACTTTTACAAAATTTAGATTTTCCATTACAATAATGGCTTAATCAAAAACTCTGAAACATGTCGGTCAATCAGTAATATGACAGCAGGTAGGACCCTGTCAGTGTGTTTACCCAACAGAGGCGGCTGATAGAGGATCCATGTCCATGCGGACACCTTCCAAGGGTCAATTCAGCCCCAGTTGTAACCGAGTAGACGCTACTATGACTGTCCATTTAGTGTACGGCCTCCTGTTTGTTTTCTCGGCCTTGCCAGGACTCATTCTTGGGGATTTGGTGTTCAGATGCCCAGTCTGCACTGCAGAAAACTTGGATGCATGTCCTCAGGTCCCTTGGTGTCCAGAGATTGTGAGGGAGCCTGGCTGTGGCTGCTGCCCTGTGTGTGCCCGGCAGGAGGGGGAACTTTGTGGGGTCTACACACCAAGGTGCTCCACCGGCCTGAGGTGCTACCCCAGCATGGACGCTGAGTTACCCCTGCAGCAGCTCATCCATGGTTTAGGCCAATGTAGGCGAAGGGGTGAACAGGACGTAATGGGGGTGGACCAGCCGGCAACAAATGGTAAGACATGTTACACACATGATTTCAATTAAAAAATCTAATTAATGTTACTTTCTACTCAAATTAGCAAGACTGGATTCTGTATTACCTTTGGATGGACATTTTTCTGTAGCTGCATTGTTCTGGCTTTGTGATGAAAGCTTCTGATTGTGAAGCTGCTACAGTAACTACTCTGCAGACAGCAGCAATTTATCTGAGGCCCAAAACGTGAGAATATTCCTACATGAGGCAAAAGTGACTTTTTATGTGAAACATAATTCTTGCATTAGTAGTGTTGATCCAGCTACTTCAGTTATTTTATTGTATTTGATAAGTATTTAAATACTTTTGCTCTATTTCTAGTTGTTTTGCATTCAGTTTAAATTGTAACCATAATGCAAACACCAATCAAGCAAAACCCAGTTATCACTAATAGGTGGAGTAATAGCAGCCTATCTGTGTGTCTTTATAATTGCACCCGTCAGTGAGGGAGAAAGGATTTGTTTCTTTGATTTGAAGATCTTTTTATTGTGTATGCATTTATTTAGACTTATTCGTTGTCAGTTAGTGTACTCTTTATATTTTGCTCTTTTAAGGTGTATTTAGGTAGTCTCGAGAGACCATCCTGATCTTGCGAGCTTTCAAGGTTTCACTCGCAGATCAATCTGGAGACTCTCCGTTAAAGAAAATTTGATGCCGTTCACCAAACGAACGTCCAATCAGCGTTGGCTTTGAGGCGGGTTGAGGTGTGACGCAACGAGAAGCGCGACAGTTCAGTCTAAAGAACATGGCGGCTTCAGCCGATGAAACTAGCGTTAGCGTGGCTATCGAGCAAGTTTTATTGGAATTACAGAGTATTTCTTCACTGAAAGAAGAGCAAAACACTGCTCTGGAGGCTTTTCTCAGAGGAAAAGATGTTTTTGCTCTTCTCCCGACTGGTTTCGGCAAGAGTAGCCTGCCTTGTGGTTGTGTTTTCGTCGTCGCTCTGATATGCTCTCATATGCTTCTTTGATCTGATTGGTTTATTTGGCCCGTCTATCACCAACATAGGCCAATCAGCTAACCAGTATTTTTGCCCCTTCCAAAAATTACTTCAATGGAAGGTTTCCAGATGGATATGCGGAGCAAATCCATCTGGTGGAACCAGGTAGCTTCATTTGTTCTACCTTATATGGACCAGAGTTTGCTTCCTTGGTCTAGACCTTTTGTGCAGATATAAATAAAGACCAATAAATTCTGGTTCACACAAATACACCAGATTCACACCAACGCTTTGAGGTGGCCTTGGTCTGCTTCCAAATAAACGCTGGTGCAGTTGACTTCAGGTATAAATTAACCTAACCATTTAAAGCCAAGTGTATCATATTTGATACAGGAGATTTTTAAGCCTCTGCATCATCAGTGGGATGTTTTGGTTCTTGAAACCCTGACTTACATAATCAGACACATGTAGTGAACAGAAAACATATATGTGTAATATATCAAAATTGATGCAAATAAATGATGTAATTTAATGTTTTTACAAAATTTATGTAGTTATTTCATTTGTCACAAAGTTCAATGACAATTCTAATTTTGGAAAATTTGAATCTTCTGTCAATTATTTCCTGGTTCAGGCTTTAAAGGGTTAATGTATAAAGTATAAATGTGTAAGCAGTACCGGAATCATACCTATCCACTGTCTGTTACTTCAATGCTGCTAATAGCAATTTGACCTTCTTCGGGTTAAAGGAAGCGTTCTCTGCCTTCAAACATACAATAAAAATTCCTTAAATGCACATTCATTGAGATGCACTTGAAACTCAATCATATTTTAGTTGTAAAGCATAAAATGCAAAACAGAGATGCTTCATGTGGATTTTCCCAGTGGTTTTCTAGTTATTTATTTATTTTTCATGCAATATGCATGAAAAATAGTCATTTTTCATGCATATTGCATAGTCATTTTTGACCGATTGGAGAAATGTTCTTCACACACACGGCTTTGTTTTGAGCCATAGTCTACTTTTAAAAAATACAATTGTCCACTTTTGTTCTGGACTGACCAGGAGACCTGGGACTTAACTAGTTGGAATGCACCGTAAGTTTCCTTCGTTATCCTCATCATTGTTTGGAATCTTCCATTTTTGTATTATTCCTTAGTAAACTTTTTATTTCATGTTCTCTGTCTATCTCAGATTTTTTCTGTTTATTCACTGTTAGACACTGTAGCTTTCTTATACTCCCAAGCAGTTTCCATCTGTACACTTGCTGTTTACCACATTTCTCATTTCTCCTTGCAAGATAATACTGTTCAAGAAAAAGTTACTCTTGACCGTGCAGGTTTTTGCTCCTAGTCTATGCATTGCTCTCCCCAAGCCTGCTTTGTTACCATATATTTTTTCTTATTTATTAAAATATTTTCTTCTGGATGCCTGCCTGCATTAGTGTTCACTCACAAGTGGTCTTAATATTATGCCGCTTTGATTCATAGTGGATCATAAACTTTATGGAGCAAATATACTTGGCCCAGTGTGTTGGTTAAAAATAATTATACCTCCCTGCAACCTGAGCAAGTCAACATGCTTACATTAGCATAAGATTGAGACCTTTTTGTCCTAGTCCTCTGTCTGATGTCCCTCTGACTCAGATGGGAGACACTCCCTGATCTACCAGATGGCGTTACCACGAGAACTAGGTGGTCTTTGGAATAATGTGAAATGAAGAACTCTTGAAATACATACTCGATATTAAATATTGTTAGTACTAAATTCTGTTAAGCAGCTATTCTATGAGAGCCACAAACAAGCAATAAACTGTGCATACTACATTCTCCAGTACATCAAACTTATTTAATAACTCCTCATTTTTTTAATACTAAATGGTAATTCCTTAAAATTAAAAATAAAATATACCAAAGATGCAACAAACATTTTCAATCTGGGAAATGTTCAAAAAATGTTGGCAATATTTGTTTGCTTGTTGCTAGTTTTTAGATATTAGTCTTGAAATATGATTTACTCTTAAACTGCCCATTTAAAATGACTTATACTACAGAACATTGAATAAATGATAATCAACTCCACAAAATTAGAATAACAATATATTTTATATTCAATCCCAAGTCAGTCTCCTGTAGATGGTTACATTATGGAGGACTGATTCTGCTTTCTAATGTGTCAGTAGTGTTTCTGTGTTGAATCATGATCTGCTCGTTTTGCACCACTGTGAAGAGTTGAAAATTTCCCTAACCTGACTGATGGTGTTAGGCCAGGGATTTACTTCTTCTCTGTCATATCTGTGCTTTTGAAAGCATTTCCCCGTAAGGATGTGGTGAAGTATTAGTGCAGTGTGGGTGACTGAAGTTCGTCCTTATGTAACTGTGACAGCAGCAGACGAGAAGCTCAGGGGGTCCTGCCTACATCTTGCATCAATGGTTTAATTGACTTTAATTAAATAAACGATGAAAGCTTCTGATTGTGAAGCTGCTACAGCAACTACCCTGCAGACAGCAGCAATTTCTCTGAGGCCCAAAACATGTGAGAATATTCCTACATGAAGTAAAAGTGACTTTTTATGTCAAACATAATTCTTGCATTAGTAGTGTTGATCCAGTTACTTCAGTTATTTCAATGTATTTGATAATTATTTAAACACTTTTGCTCTATGTGTAGTTGTTTTGCATTAAGTTTAAATTCTAACCATAATGTTAGAATTTAAACTTA